GGGAGAGAGCTGGGATTGTTCAGCCTGGAGAAGAGAAGGCTCAGAAGGATCTTATCAGTCTCTTACCTCGTGGCAGTGACTAAAGAAGATGAAGCCAGAATTTTCAGTGGTGCCCAACGAGAACGCACAAATTGAAAAACATAAAATTCCATTGCAACAAAAATTTTTATTACTGTGAGCGAGATCGAACATGGGCACAGGTTGCCCGGAGAGGGTGTGGAGTCTCTGTCCTTGGAGATACACGAAACCTGACTGGACATTGTACTGGCCAGCTTGCTGTAGTTGGCTCTGCTTTGAACAGGGGGTTGGAGTAGGTGATCTCCCAAGGTCCCTTTCAACCTCAGCTCTTCTGTCATTGAGAGAGTACACGAACCCAGCATCTTGGCATGTGACTTGGCCCCTTTGGCCATTTCTTATTCCAAGAGTGTGTTAGTGAATTGAGAAAGAAAGGTGACAGGGAAGTCCATGTCCCATGAGGCAGACTTTTCCCTCTAGTCACTTTCTGTTGCTCCATGCAGAATGTCCAAGTGCTGGATGTTTCCTTTCCACTAAGCAGAGCTGAGCAGCCCAGGGTGCAGAATTAAAACCTTTCCCCAAAACCAAATGCACTCAAAGCACAGTGGCAGCAGCCTACTGTATATGCACCGAGATAACAGGGAAAATTTTTTTTTTTTTGAGTCAAAGTCTGCTTATAAAGGTAAAAAGCTAAAGTTGGCTTTCTGTGATTAACAGGAAAGAGATGCTCCTATAAATACACTCCTAGAATGTCTTTTCTGGAAGGGAAAAAAGTCTCTGTGGAGTGCTTTTATCAGAGAGCAGCATCAGAAGTTGTTACAGCTTGATCTCTCTCTCCCGTGGGCTGGTGGCTGTGTGGTGGCCAGCAGCAGAGAGCAGGCTGCCACCACAGCGAGTGAGGACAGGCATCCTGCCTTCCCAGGTGTTTCTCTCAGTGCTGGCCAACCGTTCCTCACCCTCTTGGCTCTGAGACCTCTTTTAGGGTTCCTATACCTGTAGAAGTTAGCCAGCGTCCCTCCCGAGGTGAACACTTACCTAGGGTACAGCAGCTATGGGGGGAGGAGTTCTACAGCGACAGTGTCAGTCTGTGTCTCCTCAAATACAGTCACATCCTCTCCAGCTGTGGAGAATCTGGTGAAGTTTCTGTTGTGGATGAGTCTGTGTGTTTAACACTCAACCCGCACCAGGCACTGCAGTGGGTGTGTGGAGAGAGGAAACCCCTGGAACAGGGAAACTTTTGTCAACGCAGGAGAAAAAAAAACCCACAGGAGCTACAAATCTTTCTGCTGAGACTTCAGCATCACTGGAACGTCACTTTCTGTTTGTGTCTTTGTCACAAACGGTCCAAGCAAGTGTCTAGCTGGCCTTCTGACAGCAGCTCTGCACTTACAGCCTGTGGCTTCTCTCTTTCCTCTCATGGTACACCTTAATGAAGAGGGAAAGGTGACACCCCCATGCAGGATGGCACTTTGGAGCAGCTGGTCAATATCTCCCAGATGCCACGTCGGCCGAGAGATTGAGACTTGCAGGGGGCTGAGGCCATCCCAGCATTTGTCCTACCAGATGAGGAGGCTTGGAGGGGACCAAGGGAGTTGGGAGACAAAGCACAGAACTTCTTGCTTTCTAATACATTATGAACCTGCTCGCTTTCATTCTCTGACAAAATGGGCTGCCCTTGCCCAAAGAACAGTTCAAGCACAGCGTTCCTGGCATCTCTTAATTTATTAATTCATTTACTGGACCTTGAAAGCACCTTGCCCTGGAAAAGAGTATCCTGGCCCTCCGTTCAGAAGCGGGCAGGATGAGCACAGCTAGGGCTAGGAAGGACAAACTGAACCACGGTGAAGCTATTCCCACCCTGCTCGTCTGGGCTTGGCTTCCTCCTCCCGCGGCAGCGGTGCCACCAGCTGGCAGGAGCTGAGATCCCGAGCCTCACGGATCAGAAACAAAATACACCCGGGTCGGGAGGCGATGACAGCCCAGCAAACCTGCAGCAGCTGTGCTGGGAGCTGGGGGCAGGCAGCAGATTGAGTGTTGAAAGGGATAACGTGCGCTGCCGCCGTGTCTGTAGCGTACAGTAAGAGCAGAGTCGATGGCAGCCTAGACCTGCTGCAGGCTCCTGGCCAAGGAGTGCAATGGATCTCATCTTGGTTCCACAGGCAGGAATGGCAATGGCCACGCTGGCACACACCAGCCACAGCCAGTGAGAAAGCCCTGAGGGAACCTGGACTGTTCAGGGTAAAGAGTGAAGACTGTGGCCATGAAACAGTTAAAAATCCCGTCCAACAAAAAGAGATGAGCTGCCCCACAGAAAGGAACAAACTTCTTCATCTGCACCGTGAACAGCAGAGCAAGGGGACAAGCAGGACAGACACAGGACCAAATAGGTGAATGCTAGAATTAGCTGCACGGGGAGGAGCTGGACTTGTTATTGCTGAGGTTTAAGCTGGACACACATCTTGACAGGAGGAGCTTGATGAGTATCTTTTTGGGTCCTGCACGTCAGCATCCACACCGTCTGGATGTTGTACCTGATGGAGCATCCCGTGCAGCCGGGGAGCTAGAGACCCTCACTGCCCTTTACAGTTTAAAGTAACTGTCCCTTCACCCTCCTCTCACTTTCCTATGAGGCTTAGAGGTGGAAACAAAAGCATCAGCCTGGCAGTGGGCGGAAAAAAAAAACCCATCAGCCTGGCAGTGGAGCTGTTCTGTGTTAAGGAGGAGCAGCAGCAAGCATGGACACCTAGGAATAGAGGTGCAGCTCACAAGCAGTTCAGCTCCAGCTTCCACACTGAGGGGTTGGCAAAAGCTCATCCAAATCCGTGGCTGTGATAGGATGCAAGCCAGGAGCCACAGACTGTGCCACTGCCACTGACTTCTAGCCCCACCCCACCACACATCTAACCATCATCTCATGCATGTCTCCAGGGCCAAGGATTTTATTTTATTTTTTTAAAACATTTTTTTTTTTCATCTCTCAAACAGTAGTGGTGTAAGGCTCAGTAGGACGACAGTATAGTATTCACACGCCTTTTAGACTCTCCTCTTCTGGCACCTACAAGCATCAGGAACACCAACTGCAGCACTACAGGGAGCAGGGATGGTGCAGCTGGAGACATGATCTCCCACAGCTTGTGTACAAAGCAGCAGTCGGTCCACGACCGTGGAAACCAGCACCTCAGGGTGAGGCCACGTGTGAAGAAGGTGGTGGGGATGCAGGAGCTGCTTTTAGATAAAGCTCCAAGATAACTCCAAGTAAAGCTTAGATCTCTCAAGGTCATTCCCCCTCACCAAAAAATAACCTTTCCAATTCTAGGCAGGGAAATAGGACAGCTGCTCCAAGCTGCTCTCTCCTGTGGAAGATCTAGTGCTACAGAGACAGTTTTGGGACATAAGGTCTTCTTGAAACCTTTAGTTCTATACGTAAATGTCTACTTATAGGTATCTGTACTGTCCAACACTTCTTAGAGGTATTTCCTTCTTAGAAAAATGAAGTGTTTGAAAGGAGACTCCTGCCTCAGAACAAATGAGGTGCCAGAAGAAAACAGGAAGGAGATGCTTTGAAGAATCTAACACTCCCAACTCTCCCATTAGATACACTTCCTATAGAAGCAACAAGTGTTACTGCAGCTCTACAGAGAACAGGAGTGATGTTTAAGCTATGAAAACCAGGAATAAGCTGAGAACCTTGGGATATCAAGGGATTTCATGTCTCATATGACATCCTGGTCGCCAAATTGGAAAGGCATGGATTTGATGGATGGACCACTCTGTGGATCAGGAACTGGTTGGCTGGTCGCACTCAAAGGGTTGTTGCCAATGGCTCAATATCCAAGTGGAGACCACTGACTAATGGTGTTCCTCAGAGGTCAGTATTGGGACTGGTGTTGTTTAAGATCTTTGTTGGAGACACCGACAGTGGGATTGAGTGCACCCTCAGCAAGTTTGCCGGTGACACCAGGCTGTGTGGAGTGGTTGACACAGTGGAGGGAAGGGATGCCATCCAGAGGAACCTGGACGAGCTTGAGAGGTGGGCCTGTGCCAATCTTGTGAAGTTCAACCAGGCCAAGTGTAAGGTCCTGCACCTGGGTCACGGCAACCCAAGCACAAATACAGGCTGGGTGGAGAATGGCTGGAGAGCAGCCCTGAGGAGAAGGACTTGTTAGTGTTGGTGGGTGAGAAGCTCAACACGAGCCTGCAGTGTGCACTGGCAGCCCAGAAACCAAACTGCATCCTGGGCTGCATCACAAGAGGTGCAGCCAGCCCATTGAGGGAGGTGATTCTGCCCCTCTGCTCTGCACTCGTGAGACCCCAGCTGGAGCACTGTGTCCAGCTCTGGTGTCCTCAGCACAGAAAGGACATGGACCTGCTGGAACAGGTCCAGAGGAGGGCCACAAAAACGATCAGAGGGATGGAGCACCTCTGCTATGAGGACAGACTGAGAGATTTGGGGTTGTTCAGCCTGGAGAAGAGAAGGCTCCGGGGAGACCTTATAACAATACCTGAAAGGGGCCTACAGGAGAGATGGGGAGGGACTCTTTATCAGGGAGTGGAGTGATAGGATGAGGGGAAATGGTTTTAAACTGAAAAAGAGGAGATTTACATTGGATATTAGGAATAAATTATTTTCTGTGAGGGTGGTGAGACACTGGAACAGGTTGGCCAGAGAAGCTGTGGATGCCCCATCCCTGGAGGTGTCCAAGACGAGGCTTTAAGCAACCTGCTCTAGTGAGAGGTGTCACTGCCCATGACAGGGGGGTTGGAACCAGAAGAACTTTAAGGTGCCTTCCAACCCAAACCATTCTGTGATTCTGTGATCGGTGAAAGAAAAACAATAATTCAGTTTATTTCTTTTGAATCAGTCGTATCAACATAGAGCCTGGACTGTTGCCAAGAGAAACTCAAGCCCACTTGCTGTCGAACTCCCCTGGATTTACTTGCAGTAGGATAATTAGCAAATAAAAGGAAACCATCAGCAAAGCCAACACGCTATACAAATACATTTTATTTAGAGATACCCATAGTAAGATGCACAAATACTTTTTGTTCACCAGTTTTCAGATCACACAACTTCAAGTAGTGGAAAAAACAAACTGCAGTTAATTACAATTATCTATATAACAGGGCAGTAGTAAAAGATCCATTTGTCAGACTACAGCATGGTTAACGATACTCAGGTGAGAATGTACAGATCTAGGTATTTAAAAAGTGCATGGGTCGTCGCCACATACACCAACATGCTTTTTCAAAGAGCAACATCTTTCTGGCATGTGAACACAGTAACCCGGTTAATGCAAGATGGAAAAATCAGGCTCTTAATTTGATCTGGAAATGTATCTATTTAACAATTTTCCTCCAAACGGCAAATTAAGAGTTGTTTGTGACTGACACATGGAAAGCAATCTGTAAAAAAAATAAATCACTATTACATTGTTCATGTAGTCAAGCAACACACAGATGACCTAAAATGATCAGTTCCAGCCTACACCTCCACAGCTCTTCTACCACAGTCTTCTTCAGAAGAGCCTGGAGTAGCTGATTGCATTTAGCAAGCTGGCAGAAGGGCTGTAATCTGAGATCCAAGCTCTTGCACCCACACCGAGTTCTTCCACAAGCCAAAGACATCTCAATCCTCACATTTCAAGAACCCCATGTTCCACCTGCAAGCACGTCAACTGGATCATGTATTGCTGGGTTTTACTTTTAAATTCCCATCTAAATGGAGGGAAAGGTAGGAAGTGGTGCTGATCTGAGAGAGTAGCTGCATTGGTTTGAAGCTGTTATTTAAAACACGTGGAACCTGGACTCTTCTCTCCAGTCTCTCCGACCAAGGAAGTTCAGCAGGTTCCACTGCTCAATGCAATCCCTGTTTTGCTTTTAAATAGGGATAGTGCCGTATGGTGCGCAGGAAAAGACCAGCAAGGACTGTTGTGTGGATGATTACACATAAGAGCAAGAAATACGTTAAATCAGTCTTCAGTTAAACTTCTTCCCTTGCAAACAGAGAGAGAGACAGAGACTGACTTTTGCATTATAGTTGAGAGGCACATTTTGCATTGATGAACAGAAAACCCCAGTTTACACTGCAACCTTCTGTGGATTAGAACAAAAACTTCCTGTTAACGCAATTTTAAAAGAAGAAATTAAAAAAAAAAAACTCAGTTACTGTTCTTCTAGTCAAAATTCTAAAACTGCTCCCTCACCTATTCTACCCAGAGATACCTTTCCACTTGTGTGTATGCAGCTGTTTTTCCTCCCTAAAACTTGTTTGTGTGAGAGATTCTTGTTTCTGTGCACCTTGGAAGTAGACAAATAGAGATGCCTCACAGGGTGGGCCCTGGAACCCTGTACCACGCTCAGGAGAGACGAGAAAGTCTGGAGCATTTTGTACATACGCAGTGAACCCCAGGAATAAACAACGAGAAAAATAACAGCCACGAATTGGAACAGCCAGCAGTGCAGGAACCAACTCCTCCATGGGGCAGGAATGAGTTTGGAGCAAAGCCTTTGAGATCAAAAAGGGGAAACTAGGACAGGGATATCCAGGGCTGAGCCTAATGAATAGGGAGGCTGTGAGCAAGGCCCCACATCAGCAAGCTGCTGCCTAAGCCAGCAAACTGCAGCAGGGCTTACACTGGTGCCCCCAGGGCTCTGCAGAACTGGTACCTGGACTAGTAAACCAGCAGAGGATGGGGAACTTGCTTGAAACCTCAGTGACAGAGGGTGGCAAGATGGCTGGGAGGAGAGGCTGAGAATGGAGACACAGCGTTTTGAATGACAGAGCCCATTAGAAGTTACTCATCCCACTACTTCTGTCATGGTCCCACCATCACACCTGCACTGAGGGAGAAGCCCAGAGCAGCCAACTGAAGCTGCAAGTCCCACTTGGCCTGTTCCACCCCGACTCGTGTCAACTCAACAGCCAGCCAAGTGGAGGGCACTGCAGAGAAGGCCCTTTCACTCCATCAGGAAGGAAGGTGGAGGTGGCTGGTGGCAGCAGAAGAGCACACTAGTCATCATCAGTCACGACAACAGAGACAAGTGCATTGGTAACCTTGAGTGACGAGGGGGGAGAGCAAGGGACCTCTGAAGAAGCTGGTTCTTCCCCACACCATCTTCACATCTCATCTGAAGAGGGATGACCTGCAGTTCCACAAGCTCTGGGAGGAAGCAATCTGCAGTGGCATAAGCACATGGCATGACAGAGCAGACCCTCAAGGCTTCCTTTGCTCAAACACCCCACTACCAGCTCACCTCTGAGCGTAGCCAGCCTTTGGCACCACTGCTGGACAAAGCTCATTAGAGTAACTTTTGCCTTTTGGGCACAGAGTTAGAGTTTAGCCCGTACCCCCGCGATAACAAATTTTTTCATAATCCAGCAAATATGCAAAAGGGAAAAAAAAAAAGTCTGTAGAGAAAGCCTTTAAATAGGATCAAGTCAGCAGAGAGTCAGTGATGCACCCTCTTGGTTTTGCTCTTGGTGAAATCTTTACTCATGACATTGAGCAGCAGCCAAAGATGCCACTTCTCTGGTTGACTAAACCACCACTGATCCGTTTAACAAGCTGACTGGGTGCAGACACAGGGCAGCTCCACTGCCTGCTCTGCTCACATCCACTGCACAACACGGACACAGAAGAATTCCAGCTCCTGTAGACTGCACGGGAACAGAGTCCCCCCTTCTGAGGCAGCCAGCCAGCCACTGGAGTCCATGGTGAAAGCAGTGATCTTTCTACAGGGGGCTACAGGTTTTCTTTTTATTATGACTCCGTATTTTTCAGACAAGGCAAACAGCTTTGCTAAAGGTGAACTAGGAAGAAATGGGAGAAGAGGAAGGTGCTCAAGATTACAAAGTGAAGTTAAACCAATGTGTTCTACTCTGAAAAGTGACCATGATAAAAACAGGACCTTACTGAATTTGAAGAAACTCTGACATTATCAAGAACTAAGGAAGAGAACTCCAGATTATGTCTGCACTGGGGTACAGAGAGAACAGGTACAGTCAGCACAGGAAATACACACACATTAGAGCTCCTTGACCATGTATTAATGCCAATACATTGATGACTAATCATGCCGATTCTAGAAGCAAGTATAGCCTCATGGATCAACAGACCACAGTACTGTACTTCAGTTAACTATGGATGTACAAGGCCACAGGAAATGAAGACGTGTTCCTGTTTCCATGCTCTTATGATCAAATCAACCTTAGAGCTGGGAAGGGACATCTTATGTCAATCACACCATCCTCTGTTAGTTGCATAAGAGACACAAACTCAGCCCAAACTCCAGATGTCAGCTTGGGTTTGAGAACAAAGATATCCTTTGCTAAATCAGAAAACAAAGCCAAATGTGTAATGTCTTTATATTGGGGAAAAATTTAAAAAATCATTGTTCAGAGGAGAAACAATTTACAAGGTAGCTCTGAACATGGAGCCCCATGTGCAGACAGACAGGCTGGTTTTGCATACTATCTGCAGCTTCCCACTGTTCCATTTGCAAGCTGCACCAGCAGTTTTGAACAGTTTTACCTTACAGTTAAAAATGTGCATTGTAACATTTGAAGAGAGCTGTTACTACTGCACTTCACAGCTCCTGTGGTAGTTCAGGATCCAGTGCTGTTTCTGATACAGCTCATGACAGAAACAGCAAGCTGAGAAAGGCTCTGTTAAATGGGAGGAATTGCAAGAGTCGTTAACAAATATCAGACCCTGAATTTAAAACAAAAGCCAACAAATATCAGCAAGTCCTGATTATTATTATTTTTTTTCTTCAAGACTTTGGATCTTATTAAGTATATTTGGGAAAAAACCCCAACATTAAAAACAGTTCACTGTAAGGACATCCCACCCTCAGGCAACAAGTTGTGATCACTGCACATTTTCAAATGCCTTGTGTAGTTTGTGCATCGTATATAAGTACATCGTAGGCAATGGGGGAAGATCCAGCATTTGTGTACATATTAACATACGAGCAAGCACTGACAGATGTCACAGGTAAGACTGACCCCAAGACAAACCAGTGCATTGATTTTGTGTCTACACCACATCCTAAAACAAATGGAACAAGTCACGAGTAACAGTACAAACCTGTTGCAACTTCAACACGTACATCTTAGAAAAAGACAATGCATGTACCCAGCCCTAAGACAGCGACGAGTTTGTGAGATAACTTCACAAAGATCAAGGTACCAGAAGAGGAAGGCACATTAACCTCTGGTTGGTCCGTTTCAGTATTATTTGGATGAGTCGTAGTGATTTATATACCCTGAGACTGTGGGAGGCTTTGAAAAGGAAAGGAGACCAGGTGAATGGGCAAATAAAAAGTACAAGTTTAATGAGATTTTAAGATTCAGCACCTGAATTTTCCCTATTAATAAGGGAATCTAGAAAAGCAGTTCCTAGGAAAACAATGTATTGGCTCCTAGATGTTCGGTCTAGGACTATAGAGACATCGCACTATGTTGCGAGAGTTTTTACACACCCTCCCAGCTTCAGTCTAATGACCAGAATCTGTGTACAGTCAAGGGGTTTACTTGGTGAATTTTTGGGTACTGAAATGGTCAGGCAGCCCACATTTTCCCAACTCTGCCAACCCCAGCAGCCGGGTTTAGGTCTGTGTGCACTTTCTTAGACCATACTGCTCCCAGCAGGGTACTAGAAAATGGCACTCAATTTTTAATTGGGAAGATTCCTTTCTGTCAAAAGCTTTCTTTTCAATAGCCAAGTAATAAAGAAACTCAGCATCACAAGCTAAACAGATACTAATTTAAATCCTTGAAAATTAACATGGAGAAAAAAAAAGAATGAAGAAAAAGGATATCCACTTGATCTCTCTGAAAGTGTTTCCGATTTAAGCCCTTTCACAAGTACCTCCTGAGCAATGAACAAATATCCCCTCTGTGTTTTTAAATTCCTCAGGAGTCCTGAGAGCAAATACCTAACACTGTTGGGCTTTCCCCTTGTCTCTCGTGCCCCCCTTGCCCATCCTCACCGCGCACCGAAGCGCCTGCTCGCAGAGACAAGGGAGAGCAGAGACCCCTTCAGAGAAGATGTGGCTGTATTCTCCTTTCCGCTCTCCCTTGTTTGCAAGGTGGACCAATTCCTGGTGTCTGTGCTTCAGAGACCTTCGAGTAAGTTACTGAAGGCAGTGCAACACTCAGAAATGCATTTTCAGCTGCGGTCACACCGCGGGCTCTGGCCATGGGGCAGCCAGTAGCGTAACAGGGATTTCTCACTTGGCTTTAGGCTACAGAGCGTGTGCCTGGCATCACACACAGCTCTGCAGCAGTACCCCACTTCGGTAATTTTAGTCATAGCAGCAATTGTGACAGAAGCTAATTAAGAACCTCTCAGACACCTTGACAAAGCAGTTTTATGGAAAATAAGGGTATCGGACCACCACAAGCAGGCCTCAGTGCTCCCACCTGGCTGCAGAAAGATGCTGCTGCTTTGCCGGGATGCAGCCCCCGACAGCACATCTGTTCTTAGTTTCTTGCAAACTAAACAAAACAGGTGGCCTCCACGAAGGGTATAGGCAGGCCTGCTTTATTTCACATCCGCACCAGGTGAGGGACATCGGATCACAAGGTCAGCAAGTGCCTCTCAGCCGAGGGGCAGAAATTAAGACACTAAACCACCACTCCACATAGCTGGATCATAACTTTAATCTGTTAACTCTGCAGCTGCAAACTATATACAAAGCAAATGCTCAGGTGAAGGAAGAGGATGAAATTCTGGAGAAGAATAACTGATACAGAAGTATCTTAATCCTTAAGATACAAAAAGCTGCCAAAGACTAGAAATGGAGGCAGCAAATATATCCCCACAATGTGAATGTAAACTTCGTGGACAGACTAAGTCCAGTAAGATCACTGGGCACTCTTGCAATGAATCTTAAAAATGGATCTACGCAGAAAATGAACAAATGAGACTAGGAACAAACACTTATTAACTACTCTTTGGTAATTAACTCACCTTGGACTAACATCAGCAGCACTGATGAGGAAACCAAACAAATGGATTTGTTTCTTTACCACAATCCCAGACAGAACCCGAGGAGAGTGGTAGCAATTCTCCCTGTACAAGGGAGAAAGCTGGAGGAATTACCAGGAATAAGGTGTTTGGTGAAGAGGGTGAGCACCACCCTCCTTGCTTTGCTCAAGCTGATGCTGCAAGGCAGCTTCTGCTGCCTTAGGAATGTCCATCACAGAACACCCAATTATTAACTGAGGGATTGCTACCCAGTACTTACAAGCTGGGTATTAGTGAACCTATAATTAAGTCATGAGTTTGATTACCTGTGATTATGATTACTGAAAATGCAATACCCAAAGATACCCAAATTATCAAGTCTACTGAGAAGAGTGGTAAAATTAACTGCTTCCCACACTCACCAGCAGCACAAAAGATCCCACACAACTGAAAATCAATAGCAGGAAGAAAAGTCTGAAGGTCTGAAGGAATGTTTAAAGTTCTTTTTTATCCTTCAAGTGCCTAATGCAAGATAAACCAGAGTCTGTTCCCCCCCCACCAAGGAACAGACTGCTACTGCTCCCATCAGTCAGACATGTACATGGGCAACTGCCCAGTTCTACAGTCTGAGCCAGTCTCAAAAGTCTACCCAGTTTAAAATAAAGCGTTGAAGGTCTCAAGCATGGCTTGACCAAAAGCCAGAACGCCCATTTCTGACTGACAGAGGTCACCTCTGCAAGTACAATATTGCTACAGTAAAGACTGGGGTGATCTGGGGGCGAGTAGGCAACCCCAAACAGAACATTCAGGAGCGCAGGAAAGAGGAAGGAAGGGAAAACATTAAGAAACATTGACCAACCACAAAATATTCTGAAAATTAACATCTGTATCACTACAAGCCTTTAAAACCACTGAAACTGGATAGAAATTTAGTTCCCTCTGGCCCAATTTGTTTGCGTGCTTGCAGCACTATCTAGTTCATTTCCATTTTGAGGAAGGGGGATATTCATACAGCAACAAGGGTGGCTCCCTCCCCATGAGAAGTTATCTTTGCAAGAAAGCACCCCGAAAGCAGGATACACAGACGCATGTGAGACTTGCAGAATTTTACATCATTGTCCAGATTCTTCTCAGAATTGCCCAAAGCTCCGTAAGCAGACAAAAAAGGAAGAAAAGGACAGTCACACTATCAGGCTTTAGGAGGTACTTTGATGTACTCAGGGAGATCAGAGTCAGCGGAGAGGGACACTTTCCAGGGCTGCCTCTTCAGTAACCTAGAGACTCTGCAGAGAGATCAGCCTCCGTGTTTGGAGGCTGAAGCTCAGTCCATACAAATACCCTTTTTGCTCCCTCACTCAGACCTGGAATATGCTTCAATTAATAGATCAACATTAGGGCTAGGATTTCCAGACCAGAATTTCCTTTGGCACTGGTGACAAAGTGCCCAACTAGTAACTGTCGTTTCAGCAGAACCAGAGGACACTCAAGTAGACTCAAGCATCTAGTTTCTTTAAAACAAGCAAAAAATAAAAGCAATGCCTCAAACCAAGTCCAAATAAAAAAACCTAAGCAGAACATGTTCCCTGTGACAGAGTGATCTTACACAGTAGCTGGAGGAGTAATCCTAGAAATACACATCCTGCCGTACTTCACCAAGGCTTGTTTGTCTCTGCATACTTCCACTTTTCAAAATCCCTAAAATAACCAAACAGAACAACACAGGTACCATTGCAACATCTTTCAAAAACAATGAACAACTCTAAATAAAATTTGGGAGCTCCTTTTCTACCCCATGGTATATAATTTGCCCCTTTTCAGTGAAAAGCCTGAATATCCACACACGCAGCACTGTGAACTGATTCAGTTTTAAGCTATCAACCCACCAGGGAAGTAGAATTATGAAACGCTGCAAGAAGATCTGTTTGTGAAGCACCTGTGTCAGTGCTCAGATTGAGCAAATTATACTTCTGGGACAAGTGCACATCTGGGAGAGCTCTTCTCTTGCCAGGATTTCCACCGGATGGGAGGGAACTGCATTCCTTGCAGGACTTCCATCCAAGTCTCCACTACCAACTGGAAAGCAAGTCTGAGGCTCACTGCTTGGCGTTACTGATGAAGATACGGAGTACAAAGATGAGAAGGACCACGAGGATGCTTTAGGCAAATCTGGCAGGAATTGTGTAAGGGACTAGAGCTACTCTACAGTGGTGGCTGCCATCTCCAGCAGAGACAGGAGAACAGAGCATGTTCCAGCCTTGTCTCTCCTCTCATATTCAGCCAGCTGCCCAAAACAGCGAGGCACAGGTACTCTATACTCCACTGGTGGCAGGGGAAAGGCATTCACCCGAGCAGGACAGAGGCCTCAGCAACAAGCTGAGAGTGCAGTGCCTGCCAAAAGGCTATGTGGAGCACCCTGGAGTCCTGCATTTTAGCTGAGTATTAGGCAAGACCATCACCCTGGAATGCCCTTCAAGGCTGGACCTGAAGGGCATTGGATCTATTCTCCTCATGCAGTCCCACATGAAGTTCGAGGGAAGTTGAATGCAGAAGGCAGGAGGGCATCTGGGGAAAGACTGAGCCTCCCCTACAGCAAGCAGGATTGACAGCAGATGCTAGAGCAACGTGAGCAAACTGCAAGTTATCTTGCTACATGGAAAGCTGCTAGTTCACATTAGTTAAGTCCAAGACACACTCTTTAACCTTTGAGGAAAAAAAAGAGTTTATTTATTCCACTGGCTTACTAGAAGAGATAGCCAACCAGAACAGCTAAAATGAGAAAAGCTTCCACAACCTGGGACAAAAAAGGTCTTGGGTTTTAGGCAGTTTACAAAGAACCCATGAGCTACTGCAGCAGCATACAAGGAACCTTGGCTCATCTGGAAAATGGATAGATTTGGTTCATTTTGAATGACAAGAACATTCATGACCCTAGCCCCCATTTTGTCTCAGCGCCTCTGCAGGCCCTCAAAGTAATGTCACCCTGCAAAAGCCACGCTGCAGAACAGCCTACTCTTACTCCAGTTGTGCAAGCTGATACCTGGGACAGACAAGGAAGGAACAGATGATCAGTTTTTTTGCTCCTGGCACTGCTGAAAACGACAGTTCAAATACAAATGCACTTTTGAGAACTCCTGCAGTTCTGCAGGACTTCTGCAGTTTAGGTTTGATGGGCATTACCCCTGGGCTCCAATGAGTACAGCTTAAAATTACTGTATCCCTCTACATATAAACAGTGTCATTAGACTTGTACTTTTAAAAAATAAGATCAACCCAGGCCAGGGCCAGGCTCTGCAGATAAAGTAGTAGCTTATCTCTTATAAATATTTTTAATATTTTTTAATTACAAGTAGTCCTCACTCCAGGTAACATAACTGACACAAAGTACCTGCACACACGCAGCCCCTAGACTTTCACAGAAAGCCCAGGAGCAACCACTCTATAAGAAAGGAATCCTACCTCACAGCAAAGTAGGGGAGGGGGCACATGGCCAAGATAGCCTAAATGTGGGGGAAGAGTCATTTGGAGTAAATACAATAAAAAAGGGACTTCAAACACCCTTCATATAAAGGATCAAGGAGGTTAAAGCAAAAACTGGTTCAAAGAGATGTACAAAACCAGGAGGCTAACAGAAAACTCTGCCAAAAAATAACTTGCATTTAGATCGGAAATCAATGGCATCACACAATTCTGTTGTTAAAAAAAGGAAAAGAAAAGTGGAAATCTCTGTAAAGATCAGCATTTATAAAGAGTTATCATTAGCTCCAGAGACCAGCGTAATTCCCATGAAGTCCTGATGGAAGGGGGCCTCCTGCCACAAAGAGTTTCGTTCCAGACGAGTCATAGCAGTGGGTGTAAACAGCATTTGGGAAGAAATTTATGTCAGAAAAATAATTCCTCCAGGTTTCATCATGATTCTGTTAAAGGAAAGTTTAGATTATTATTGTTGCCAAACAAACCCAAAATCTTGTTTCATAAAAGCAGAAGGTAGTTTCCAGAGCCTAAAAGGGGATCTTTTGCATTAATGCTCCCTGAAGCTACAGATAGATCAACTTGAAGATACCAGAGCTGTCCTGAAGCTTTTTCTGGGGACATTTGGGCCAAACATTGGAGCTGGGGGGAGGTGAAAGGTAGGGAAGATACCAAGTTTCATTAGCTTTTAAAAATGCATCACAATGATACGAAAGATAATGGAGAGAAATTAGACAAAGCCATTAACTGCTCTATGATAACATACAGGAAATGGAACTCAAGTGCCTGCATTACCCCAGGAAACCTGTTTCTAAAACTGCACACTATTAAATTAAATGTCTCTTTGCTTTGAGTACCCTGTTAGTGTAGCATGGTTTTAAAGGAAGACAATGTGTTTTTGTGCTTGAGGTTGCTGAAAACTAAAAGTTAGATTACGTTGAAAAAGATAAAGATACAAAAATCTAGTTCATTTATGAATCAGTGCATAGGAACGGGTAGTCAGTATGCCTTACAGTCAAGCAACCAGCCTTCAATACCCTTCCATAAAGCTGTTGTAGAAAGCAGTTCTGCAGCACTTCTTGCTCTTCGTGATTACAGTTATGGGTTACATGATCACTGTTTTACTGGGTCGTGTTTCATACAACAGCTCCCACTGCTATAAAAAGAACCGCTTCCCGAGCCCTGAGGCACTCCTGTGTGAAGGGTCTCCCGCAGCTACCAGCTACTCACCAGCCAGCCTTTCCCAGTAGTCAGCTTCAGGATTTCACTTCCTCCTAATCTCTGCCTCTGTCCGTAGCAGGGCCGTGGGGGCTTTTCATCCAGGAACCTCTGGGCTCTGATGTCGTAAAACAGTAAGGAACCTTGCCCCGTCCCCACAGTGATGATGTGCTCGTAGAAGCTCACCGACCGAATGCCTGTCAAACAGAGAAGGGACATGCGAGGCACTAAGGAAGATGAATGCTGTGGCTCTGCAGTGCTGCTGATTGGTATTTCCTTTAAGAGGAAACTACCTACTAGCGTTCTCCACAACACTTAAGTTTCCAGAGCAGGGAACTTAGCACTTAAGCTACGGAGCAGGGCTGACAAATCCCACTGATGCTGTTGAAACAGCAGCCTCAATTATATACACCACCTCCCTTCTCCTCTGAGGCCACCAGCTGCACTGACACCATGTAATAAGAAGCTTCATTCTCAGCATACCCCATAAGCAAAGACCGTAAGCCATTTAGGACCAAGAGCAGCTTTCTTCTGTCTGCCAGAAGCCTCTATGTGAACACACCACGAGCGAGTAAGATGGCAGCAGAGAGATGAAAGAACATCACACTGGTTTCCCCCCTGAGCTCACACCCTATTCAGCTACCTGCTGAGCTGTGATAAGTGACCCTGTGAGAAAAATTACTGTCCCAGCTGCCACCAAGCGCATTTTGCAGATCAACAGGCTAGCTGGAAGCAAATATAACCATAATAATCACCTGCCACTTTGCTGCTAGGATAGACCAGGCTCTTAAATCACTTTGAAGCTATCTCCACTCAAATATTCTCACACAAGCACACCTTACTCTTTGTAGCTGGTGCTTCTGGCACTTCACCCAGCAATGAAAAGAGACTGGCAACCCTACAACCTAAGCAACACCATGTTACAGCAGCACACGGGAAGCTACCGCAAGTTTCCAGTCCAAACAAAACATTCTTGCACAATTCAGTTATGCCATTAGACCAAGTAAAACAAGTGCATTTTGTTCTCACAAAATCTAAATCTGAAGCCTCAGCTACACAAGGTTCCCTTGGAAATAATCTTGGGGAGATTTTGCATGCAAGAATTTGCAATCTGCGAAACGTCCTGTCCTCTCACCTCTTTAGTGTGCAAAAGGTTTGTTCTGTGTAAGCACCCTACCCCAAACAGCTCTCCTAGGCAGAGTAAACCCCGCCACATCTCTGCTCTTCCTTCCTGCACAACATGACGCCGGGTTATAAATGCTAAGGCTTTTCAAGCCCCCTTAAAAGCACCACTGAATTACAGCCCAAAGAAGCGTTCAAACAGGAGGGGAGGAGTGAGTTATGCCAGCCACATCCACGTGCCAACTGCTGTCACTGTACCAAGTGGGACTGAACGTCACAACACCCGTAATGTCCTGAAACACACCCCGTGGGACACGTGGGAGCAGACGTCACAGAGGTGTGGATGGAGCTTCCTTTTCCCCTTTGTACAGAGTCCTAATGAGAAACACATCCTCATCCTTCCGCCTCCGCAACCTGGTGCTGCACCCACAGCCACCGGCACCGGTGACACGCACTTAGAACAAGTGAGGCCACACTGTCGTGCTTCAGGTGTCACCAGAAATTGTTCTTCTCAGCTGCAGGCTTAATAGGTGGGAAACCACTGCGCAAGTCTCACACCTGCTCAATTAGACTTACCAGATTCATAGAAGAATCTCTGCTTTAATTAAGAAAACTGCAAATGGATTTGAGCAAGTTGGAGACTTCTTCCCCCCCCAGCCCCGTATCACCCCATTTAAAAGGCCTGGATCTGACAAATACAGGCAGAAAGCTTTAAACCATCCGCAATCAGCAAGAACAGTCACTTGGACAAGAGGAGAAAGGCACAAGAGGGAATGTCCTCTTATTTTTGCTCCAAAAGTGCTCTTGACAAGCAACCCAGCAGAACACTCAACAGAAACAGGTGATGATAGTGTGAAAACAGATAGCTTATACTTTTCAATGTATTTTATTAAAAACAAGCTACAAAATGCAGAATGACCATGGATCTTTCTCTAATAATAAAAAAAAAAATAATGGAAGGAACCCGTGATGTACCCACTACTAAAAGGACGTGCCTAGAACTGATCAGGGTAACCTCTCCTACATTCTCAGCACTCTACCACCTGCAGGCATGGACTATTTGGGTCAGCAAACTGAACGTCGTTCCTGAGAGGCAAGGAGGCTGTACAAACCCCAGGAGGAACTGAAGACACAGTTGTGTGTCCTACACAAGCAGCAGACACAGAGCCAGGGCTGTGCGAGCTCTGTCCTCTACATTAGCATTGCTGCCTTCAGGATACAGAGTCAAGGGCAGAGGACACAGCAGTGCACGCCAGCCAAGCAGAAAGCAGTTGCTCTTGCAGATCATGGAGTAGATTCCAGGGCCTGCACTTCCCTGTACAGCTGCTAAGAAAAGCAACACTTGCAAGATGCACTAAAAAGCATTAACTACCTCCTGACGTAGAGCAGACAGGGTTACACGGGGTAAAATACCAGCCCTGGTTCCAGTCTTGCTAAGTGAGAGGCTTTCTCTGAGCTGTTTTCGTACACAACACTAATGATCTGAAGTTACTGTGGACCTACCGCCTTCAGCAGGTGCATCTGGAAGCTGAAAGCACGTTCAGGTAAACACTTCAACACAGAATGCATGTAGGCATGCTCTTAAAAGTCAACCCAGATTTTAGTGCGCAAATCAATAAGGCTGAAACGCTCTGTGTCTTGGGAATTAATATTACTTAAGTGCCTCCATCACCATGCCAAAAAAAAAATCCACCTACTACAAAGAACAGAAAACAGCATTGAACAAAGGCTTTTCTCCAGACATGAACTGGAGGTACCCCAGAGATACTACCTACACACAGATCCGCCTTCCAGCAGGGATGATCACATACTCAAGGCAGAAGCTTTCAGCCCCCAGCCACTGAGCACCACACTCCTGTATCTTGGTACCCCTTCCCTAAGATACTGACAAGTGACAGTGTCCTGACCTCCACAGAACCCTCCCTGACAGCGGGTTGGAACAAGGGCTGTTGCTGGTATGATGTTCAAGTGGTGACACAAACTGGTGAAGCACCTTCTCTTACGCTGTAGAAACTAAACTTCTATCTAAAAGAAGCAGATCCTGACATTTATCTAGACAGCGCTATTCAAAACTCCAGTAACCACATAAATAAAACTTTCCTAATCCTTGGCTGCATGCATTCTCTTTAAATAACTTGCCCAATGAAGAGATGATGCCTAGAGCCACGCTAAAAAAGGAATGCAACTTATTAGTCTGGGACTGATACGGTTTTAAATAGGCATCACAACAAAGTGGCTTCTCATGCTTGAAAATAAAGTGTATAGAAAGAATTTTATGAGACCATGCACGCTGCAAGCCCTCACTCTTGGCCCTGGTGTAAGGTTCGATTTGATATTTTCTATCCACATCAGAGAACAGCACTCAAATCTGCAATTTTTAATTTTTTTTTAAAAGAGTGAGCTTTTGTATATTTTAAGTAAATAAATACACATTGAAAACGAAGAGTATCACTTGTGGCTTTAAAATTACAAAGAAAGCATTCAATCACAGCACAGACTCCCAATACGACAGCACAGAGCAGACAAAATGCCTCTTTTTCTGTTCCCAGAGAAAAATGCAAGAATAGGCAGTATTAATAGCAGTACGAGACTGGAATTTCTTTGAGATGAAGTGAAGCAGAGTAAGATGCAGTTAAAAAAAAAAAGAAAAAAGTAAAATGCATACTTTTAAAAGTTTGGATGCTGTATAATTTATCATGAAAGCACTAATGTCCACCGTTAAATCTCAGGGGTGCTTTCTTGTTGGTTACTCAAGGAATACTGTCATAAAAGCAAAACCCACGTACACTGTTAATCATTTAGACTATCACATGAAAAACCCTTCCTGTTTATTAAGAGCTTATCTTAATACAGTCTTAATAGCTGCTCCTGCAAGCAAACTGTGTGAAGCCCCCTTTGACACCTCTCTTACCGCTGCCGCGTTCTTTGGAGCAGACGGATTTGACGTTGTGAGAAGGCTGCCTGGGGTCCAGGAAGGAGACATGTGCCTGCGACCCCACCGCGTACACTGACCACTCCTGACCGTAGGCCAAGCACACGTTCTCCCTGCAGTATGGCAACTTGGTGGAAAGCAACTGCAAACAGAAGAAATAAAAATTAAGCCATTTCGAGAAAAGAGCAAGATAGTTAACAGGACAATTCTGTAAAATATGGTCCAGGAAGTCGCAGTGAAAAACAACAAAATACAGCTAAAAAAATAAAAGTTCTATTTTTGTGGTGAACTTAAGAGAAAAGCTACAAACTGACCTGGAGAAAAAAAACTGGAGGAGATGGGATGCCTTATCTGAACCAAACTGAGATGATAAAGGCAGAAGCCAAGAATTATGCAAAAAAACCAATGAACATTTCAGCAAATCACTTTACATCTTTCTAAGCTGCTGTCATTTCTTCAGCAGGTGTACACAGACAGCAGCCCTCAGCTGAAAAAGCTTGCTTCGTACACCAGCACAGGTATGTCTGGGTCTGATCTGCAGTTACACTGAAACATGTGCAACTTCCTTTATCAACACTGCTAATCAAGCATCCATCATACCCAACGCAACAGTTCCCTTCAGCTCACCCAGGACTGGCAGAAATCAAGAGCACTGCCCATCCTCCAAGTTAAAGGGAGTGGGCAGTTTCTCTCCCTCAGTTCTCATTTTTAGAACATTTCATTATACATAAAGCTTTTAAGTGTTTTAGAAACACTGCTACTCTTAATTCAAGACTTAAAAAGAGATGAAGTGGTGAACAGCCTTAACTGCTAGGTAATTTTTGAAATTATAAATCAACAAACAGAAAAACACCTTTGACAGTGTGTGCTCCGCTTTCCAAAGATGAAAATACCCATCTAGGGACACAGCTCCCAGCTCCTATTGAAAAAAAAAACAAAAGTAAAAAAGTTAGTTTCTATATTACAGATGTCCTCACAAAAATCACGCTCTTTACTGGGCAGGCTGCATACTCTGGATTGGACTCATCCATAATCCTGTATGTGCTTATCAAGATAAATTTGAATTTTATTTACTGATCTTGATAGAACACAGTTCAGCACAAAGGTGCCAGGTAGAATAAGAATTAATAAACCAGTAAATAACCAAAAATAACTTTCAAAAGTATAAATCTTGTTATTCAATCAAATAATTAATTATTAGACCATATAAGCTAAAGCTGACAATTCTCTTCAGCAGCTCCTGCACTGATTCTGACCTTGAAGCAAACATTTCTTTCCAGACATTACTCTGCAGAAAAAGCTCTATGAATTCTCCATCACAGAGGCGTAATTAACAGCTACAGAGAAAAATAAAGCCCACAGAAGCACTGTGCTTTTGACAGCACACCCACCTTTGCTTCAGACCTTCTCTGTTCTTTGAGGGCAGAAAGAATAGTAATGGAGGATGAATTGCTACTCCCACTAGTGATGACAAGAGACCAGCACAGGGCAGGTTAACATTTACTGTCTGTCGAACGCCAACAAAATAACACAAAGCAAACCCTGGTGCCTGCCCTGTGTGTCAGTCACCTCACTTGCTGCAAGGGTTCAGCCATCAACAGGGCAACTGCCCAAATGTTAGCTGGTCTCCACCAAAGGGGAAGGAAAGCAGCAAGAGCACTCAAGAGTGGGCTTCAAGCTGCAAGAGGGTTTTTTTGTACTTTATCTGCTTCTTGTAAACATTGCCTGTCTCCCCTGCTTAGGATGCAAGTCTAAAAAGCAAACACACAGGAAAACTGTTCCTTCTGAAAACATGATTTATTTTTCCTACTTGACCTCTCCATTCACTTGGGGCAGAAGCAGACATAGCAGACAAGGATGATGATCTCATATGAGAAGCACGCAAAAGGATCAGGGAAAAAAAATATTAGGTTGCTTCTCTGGTATTTTTGATTTAGATTACTTTTTTCTTTTTCTAATAAATATGGGCAGTTTCAGGATGTCTCAGCTGTCTTGCTTATCTTACTGACCTTGTTCTTATTGTTGAAAGCCAGCGCTCGGACTTTGCAGTTGTCAGGATTGGTGCTCTCCTTGGGGATATCCTTCAGAGCCTTGTGTGTTATGTGGGCATAGACAGGAACTTGAGAGAGATTGTGCCTGGCATCGCTTTTGGACAACACATCCTCTGTGACTTCCCAGAGACCCATCGAACCGTCCCGGGAACCTGGATAAACAGTCCAAAAATAAATAGTACATTTCGCATAGACATAACTCCCCTTTTTTAAAAAGGAATAAGCAGTAGGGTCTGAAAGAAAGGAAGAAAGGATACTACTAATTTAATCTAACTGAACACAGCGTTGGTGCCTAGATATTAATTAACAAAAACATTCTTTCAGTGCCCTGTAAAATTTGTAACTTTGTAAACTATCAACTCTCTACGCGGTTTCCAAGCAGCTAGATAACCTCATCTGTTTTCAAAGTGATTAGGATGCATCAAAACCCACGCTCCTGTAAACAATCACCATTAAAGACTCCTGTGCTCAGCCTGGCTTACCAAGGTTGAGACTGACAGTCTGTTAAACCAACACAAAAACCTCCAAGAAAACTCAGCTGGGTTTACACCAATTTGGGTTCATTTGATTTCTGCCAGTGTGCTTATGGATTTGTACACACCCATTTCTGAACCGAACAGAAACAACCATTTCAAACCATAATCGGTACCAATTTGTACCAAATCTATTTTAAAAATTATTTTTCTTAAACGCATGCAACCTTTTGTTTAAAGAATGTCACAGGAGGCTGAACAAGCAGGAGCTCATTTTATTTTTCTACTGAATTTGAAGATATTAATAAAAAATATGAATCAATAACAGAAACAATACCAGATGAAGGAAGCTGAATGTCCTTGGTTTGTAGATCAACACAGGCTTAATCCAAGGCCCTATACCCATCCCTTCTGGTATTTAGGCACCTCACTTCCATCTAAGTCAGCTCTGACAGATTTGACATGTACCTCAATTTCTTCCCTACACACTGTGAAAAAACACATCCCTGCTTCTTTCACCAGGAATGCATAGGAAATATTTCACATCTTGAAGATGCCAGAAAAAACTAAATAACTGCACTGGACTATTTAACATTGGCACATCATAGGGAATAAGCTGCAAAGACAGTTAAGCAAAACCTCTCGTCCTAATACGGGTGCAGAGAGGTGTTGCCAGGGATTCTGTCATTTGCCACTATCACTTACTCCAGCCAAATACAGAAGGAGCTTCCCTAATGGCACAGCGTAGCAGCAGGCAGCACGTGACACGACATCCTGCCAGTCAATTTACATGCTGATGGTGTTTAATGGTGCCTAATCTTGTTTGCTGCTGAGGCTGAATACCCAGCAGCAGAATTTCTACACATCTTGAAATAGTTTAGGAGGAAGCTCTCCCTTTTAACAGTCCTAGCAGGTGAAAAAGTCCACGTATGTTGTTCAACTGGTTAGCCCTGAAGCCCAGGACAGCATCATTTGTTACCCAAGGCTCATGCCATCCTGGGCATTATTCATTCCATCTGAAGCTTCTGCTACGGAAATCTTTTTGTCCACCAGTACAAATGAGTGGACCAATGTGTTCTCCCTCAGCTATGGTGCTTAGTCAAGAGTTTATTTTTATGTTTATGGGCTACTGAAATACACTGCCGAACATTTTACAAGCAGAGCCCTGCCTTGTTCTTGTTGAAGTTGACACAAGCAGAGCAAAAATCAAGCCCCTAGTCCTCTTTGTACTCTCTCAACAGTTCTGGTGGCAGTGAGAAAATACACTGGCAAGTCTCAAACCTCAGGCTATGTGATCAGTGTGATCTGCCATGGCACCAAACGCCCTTTTTCTTTTCTGTGGCGTTTAACCTGCCCCAAGGAAGTCACCAAAAAATCACATTTAGTTTCTTAATTCAGATAAAAGTATTTGCTATATCCTCGATATCTGGAGTTCAACTATATCTGCTCCTCATTTTCAGATGCAGATGTAACTGAACTCTGTAAGATTAAAACATCAGAAGTTGTCTGTTTTCTCCCCATTAGAATCAACAGCAATGTCCTGAAGAACTCAGTTTAGCAATCAGACTTGCCAACTGCTTTCAACAAGTTTTCCCTGGTGTCTCAGGTCTGGAGATTAGAACCTACATCCTGCTGTAAGCACCACACAACAGAGGATGTGGCTGTCTTCTACTCACACCTCCACCCCTGGGCATACAGAAAACATTGACAGCAACACAGTTCGATCCCACATGCTGGGCCTCTCTGCTCCACTGGGTCCTTGTCTTTCCCTTGGGTATCTGTTATCATCTCTGCTGTTCTCCTCAAGCTTATTAGCTGACAAACTTTTTTTAATGCAGATATTTGGGTTGGAGACTTGCAAGGATCGAGTTTTATATTAAATTCAAATTCCAGGATTAGCTTTTTGGTTTTTGAAAAAATAAAATAAAATAAAATCTTACTGAACTAACAATTCAGTACTATATTTTTGTATGAGACTGTTATGATTTTCTATCATTCAGTTTGACACCTCCCTGTACAGAATACTTCACACTGTCAGCACAGAAAGACCATAAACTACTAATTAATGCAAACAGCATATTAGTATTGCTGCCTTTACCCAAGTAATACTTTATGAAGTAACACAGATTCTCCAACTAGTTACTAAAAAGTCAATAACTCACCTTTTCTATTACAGCTTTCTGTATAAGCTATGATAGTATATGTGCGTACACACACAAAACAAACTGAGTTTTCATTAATTAGTCTTCCATAGGATTTCACAGAATCACAGAACGGTCAGGGTTGGAAGGAACCTTTGGAGATCATCTCCAACCCCCTGTCAAAGCAGGGTCACCCAGAGCAGGCTGCACAGGAACCCATCTGGGCAGGTTTTGAGTATCTCCAGAGAAGGAGACTCCACCACCTCTTTGGGCAGCCTGTTCCAGGGCTCTGCCACCCTCAAAGTAACAAAGCTTTTCCTCATACTGAGATGGAATTTCCTGTGTTCCTGTTAGTGCCTGTTGCCCAGTGTCCCTGAGCAACACTGAAAAGAGTATGGCCCCATCTTCTTGACACTTGCCCTTTAGATTTTGATAAGCATTGATGAGATCCCCTCTCAATCTTCTCCACGCTAAACAGACACAGGTCTCTCAGCCTTTCCCTTTTCCTCATACTGAGATGGAATTTCCTGTGTTCCTGTTAGTGCCTGTTGCCCAGTGTCCCTGAGCAACACTGAAAAGAGTATGGCCCCATCTTCTTGACACTTGCCCTTTAGATTTTGATAAGCATTGATGAGATCCCCTCTCAATCTTCTCCACGCTAAACAGACACAGGTCTCTCAGCCTTTCCTCATAAAAGAGATGCTCCATTACCTTGATCATCTTTGTAACCTCCACTGGACTCTCTCCAGCAGTTCCCTGTCCTTCTTGAACTGGGGGGCCCAGAACTGGACACAGTGCTCCAGATGGGGCCTCACCAAAGTAGAGTGGTAGGATCAACTCCCTCAATGTGCTGGCCATGCTCTTTTTAATGCACCCCAGGAGATCATTGGCCTTCTTGGCCAAAACGGCACAGTGCTGGCTTATTGTCAACTTGTTGTCTACCAGGACTGCCAAGTCCTTCTCTGCAGAGCTGCTCTCCAGCAGGTCAGCCCCCAACCTGTACTGGTGTATGGGGTTATTCCTTCCCAGGTGCAGGACCCTACACTTGCCTTTGTTGAACTTCATTGGGTTCCTCCCCACCCAACTCTCCAGCCTGTCCAGGTCTCACTGTATGGCAAACTAACTTACGAGGATGTTACAGGAGACAGTGTTGTTGCTCTGCTGTATTCCAAAGTTATTAACTGATAACCAACACCCCCCTTTAAATTATTCTTCTTCTGTGGAATCCCTCCCTATAATTCATTGTGTTTAGAGATGCTCTCATAGCAACACCTACTGGAAAGACAGGAATATTCCCTCCAATACTAGAAAAAAAATCAAATCTAGACCAGGGCCCTACAAATAAAACTTAGTGGAGCACTGTAGTAAGACCAAGAAGGGTTTAAACAGCCAAGGTACTTCAAAGTATTTTCAGATGCCCTGATAAAGGTGCTTCCCTAAGACCTATAAAGCACTGTACATCAGTATAAAATTCTGGAAAAGCAAAACCCTTCCCCCCCAAAACTGAGAGAAAATTGACTTTACCAGAAACAGCCATGGTATCACTGATCCACGCAATTGAAAATATCCAGTCCTTATGTCCATCCTAAAAGAAAAAAAGGTCAGATTTTTCTATGCCATTATACTCTAGAGTAGTCTCAAAGCAGACAAGTATTCTTCACTCAGAATTTTAGTACAAACTTAGGAGAGACCTACACTAAGAACATACAGGAAATATTCCACTATCAGGCTGGAGCAGTTTATGTACCTAACAGCAATTTCAACTCTTTTTTTGATTGTGAAGTATATAAGTAATAGAGAGCAATTAGGTGATGGAAAACCAGGTTGCTCTGACCATGGACAAACTGATCTCAATTAAGGATTTAGATTTTCCATTTCAAAAGCAGCACTCTTTACTTCTGTAAAGTAGCTACATACTTCTATTTCCTGACATGCAAATCCCTACTGCAAAAAGTAACCAAAACCTTACATTTACAATATATAACCTACACATTAACTCTTCAAAACTATTACTTCAAGAATCTTTTCTTTAGCAGGTGAGGGGCGTATAGGAAAACGAAAGACAATAAGGCTCTAGTTCTGTTTGAAAAGCTATGAAGTCACAGCAGGAGGCAAATGAGTATCAAGTCATACAAATCTTCAGTCAAGCCTTTCTGCAGCTGGTTATCTGCTACTGCAGAAACTGTGACCTGACCTCCGCTGTTGCAGTTAACGCCTATGCGGAGCCCTGAATCAAAAAGCAGAAAGGAGAGAGAAATGCTTACAGGACATCATTATACTCCTTTCAGCCCTTCTACTTTTTTAAGACTGGCAATTTTAACAAGGTCTCATGATGTTTCAGAAATACAAGCAGTTCCAGAGTCTATCAAACTGCCCTAAGTTCTGCCTCTGGAACAACATCTACATAAACTGCACTGGAGAAGGGGAAAATCTGAACTTGTCTTTTTAATTTCTCAGAAGGGATTTTTCACTAAAACCAGTTTCAGAGGTCATCACCACAACTAGACTTTAACCATTCAGGATTCTGTTACATTTTCTGTGCTTAAAAGTTTTCTACAGTAGATCTGAATGGGGGTGAGGAAGACAAAATCTGACTCAGAACCCTGAGAATTCTTGTCACATGTTTGTGTACTCGCTCATATTTAAAATACCTTGTCAAAAAGACAACTGAATCGGGAATGTTTTCAAGCTTTCAGAAATTAACTCTCCACTACAAGACTCCCAAATCTTAACCGTACTCTGACCTTTGGCAATTCAATGTAGTAACTCTTGTAAGTGACAGAATAAGCCTTCCCCAAATGCTCCACTTACATCTCCCACACAGACAGGATCGAGTGTAGGCAGACGATAAATTGCGAGACTGTTGGGGTTGTCTCCACCTGTGGCCAGAAGGGTCCTCGAGGGGTTGATCTCAATGGCATGAATACCACATCCCTGCTGGTTCACTATGCCGGGTTCACGATCTTTCAGAATAGGAATCTTGGTAATTTGACCAGTCTGGACATCTACTACAAATAACTGGGAAAAAAAAAAAAACAACAACAATAGGAGATGTTATGTCATCACCAAACAGATAGAAAAACAAGATGGTCAAATATCTGCCCTATTTCGAGTAGACATTCTCTTCAAGTTGGAACCCACAAATGCTGCAAGTATGGCTGAAAAATGCACAAATTCCTCCTCACACCAAGTAAGCTAACTTAATCAGTGGGCTTTATTTCAGTCATCCTATTTGGTTTTCACATCAAGAGAAGAGAGAGGAGAAAAATCTGTCATAGTGGGTTGCCTATTGAACAAACCCCTTGAATCTAAAACTCGTTTTCCTGTTCGATACAGTGAAAAAAAACCAATATTGTTTTCCAGTTTCCCTGTACAACAGTGAGAAAGAGAATCACATCAAAGCAGCCAGTAAACCCCAGGGGCCTTAGATCAAGTCTCCTGCCTCCCGGGTAAGATACTTACCGTGATGTTTTTGGCTTTGGCGAACTGACACTTTATACATTTATATAATAGGAGTTTATTTTCTGGTGATACACTGAGAATATTAACTAAATATAGTACTGCCAGTGCAAATGTCTAAAAAAAGATATCTAGCTACACACCCCATCCTGCAAAAAGAGTAGAAGTTGGAACTGTGTCACTGTCCCCTTTGTAGAAAACTCAGTTATAAAGCCTTACAACTCTTCAGACAGACATCATTATATCCAGAGTTATGTGAATTCAGACATATACAACCACAGGGCTACAATCTAAACCAGAACAAAGATTTACCTTGCCTGCCAAGGTGCAGTCCCATTTGGGAGGCTCCCGTGCTGGATCATTTCACAGATGTTGTTCGGAGCGCAGCTGCACTAACAGTCAGACAACATAAAGGGACAAAGCCCCGTGAGAGAACACGAGTGAGAGGCAGGGAAATGGAGGATCTGAAACTGACTTGGCACTAAGGAAGGTGATACAGTCTAAGCTTAACAGCCTAAGATTATAATTACATTCCACCACCACCTCCCTCCTCCTTAAGTTTGTTCCTTCTGTAACCAAAGAACATTGTCTCAAAGCCTCTGGGAGAGAAGACAACAACAAAAAAACCCAAGAAAACTCAATGCAATTGTGGAAATTTTTCTGACATCCTTTGTCAGGCATTTCTAAAAGGACCCGAGGAATCTAGAGGTTCTCAGAGAGGAGTTATACATAGAAGTTGGTTTTGGTGAACTCTCACAGATTGGAGATCTGTTCACTAATAAGTGTTCAAAAAAACCCAAGAAAATTTAGCAGCATATCTATTATTCTTGATGTACTGAACTAGTAGAACATTAATGTCAAATCAAAACCTGATACAAAGTATGGTATGCTAAATTCATTTTGCAGAGAAAGCTGAAATCCATTAATCAATATTTTTGTGTTGTGTCTAGAATTATGCACCATCTTCAGCCTGCAACTGATCTTCTTTGGCAGGCCGCAGTCTTGCACAAGGAGTTAACTTCCTACAGGGACCAAATTTTCATGTTTAGTTCTTCATTTTGAGCGCTGGTGTGGAGTCAGGCAAGAGCTGAAGCACAGCTGAATAGGATGGAAGCCTTCCTCACTTCTCCCAACCCTTACAATTCAGTTCACTGCCTGAGATGGCGCGTAAAAACGTGATGCACCAACAACCCCTTGGCTCTAACGACGTCCCTGAAAATTAACACCCACACAGTAGTATCAGAATCAGTAATTCCCTCTCCTTTCATCCTCCTTTGTCCTTCCCCTGCGAGTGCGTATCTTCTTTTCCTCCTCAGTATTTTCTTCCAGTAGAAAGGCCCAATTCCCTCCCCTACCATCCTTCGACTACTGAAAAAAACCCCCACAAAATCAACAGTTAAGTACCTAAGAGTAAGGCTTGCCAGTGTCATCTGCAGGCCCTAAAGCAGGTGCTAATTTGTAAAACATATCCACACCTCAGGATGCCCAGAGTCAGCCAAATCATGCTTCAGCTGGAAGTCGTTCACACTGTGAACATTTCAACAGGTAGGAGGACTGAAATTGAAAACTCTTCACATTCTTCAGTCCGACACCACTGTCATATATCTGTGATTGATACTAGGTTAATAAAGACTCACTCTAACGTAAAATCCCTTTAGCTAAACTCTAAGCTAGTAGGGCTGAAGAGATAAAGAACTTGGAAACAGGATGCTGAAACATCAGACTGTCACATTTCTGCCCTGGATCTCCAACCTCAACAACTTTTTCCTGTAACAAGTTTCCAAATTAAGATATTCTCAGAAGCAGCAATGGGACATATTTCTTGCAGTGCTTTCATCTGCTCATAGCCCACTCTCATCCATCATCAGCCTTTGAATTGCTTTGTCATTTCCTCGCTTTTCTCCCCCCGTTGCACAGTATTACCATAACCAGAGCAGCGACTGCTCTTTAGGGCAAGAAACTTGGCAAAGATAAGGGACTGGCTTTGTAGTTTCAGCTGTGAAGTTCTAATCAGTAACTTCTCCCCTTTGCTTGGTAAGGAACCTGGCACACTGTAGGTAGTTTAAAAGCAGCCACCACCTCCCTAGAATAAAATCAGCAAGCACTGTCTGGGTGTGCTGGGACTCTTGCATCACCTGGGGCAGGACAGGAAGCCAGAAGCTGACACTTGCAAGCTGCACCACTGATTGCCAAGGAATCTTCACTGTAAATCCAGCAAACAGAAGCCAAACAGTTGTTAGACACTTCTAAAGCCAAAAAGGGAGAAACGTTAAGAAACAAGATAGGCACCGGCTAAGAATGCAGAAAATTTGAATACAATTTTAAGAGTTTTAAAGACACTATAGTAAATAAAATACAAAATAGGTGACTGCTTTTAAACAAGTGCAGCCAAAACCAGGACCTGCTTTGGCAGGGGAGTTGGACCTCCAGAGGTCTCTTCCAACCCCATGTGATTCTGTGAAAACTGCAGCTAAAATGACATAAATCCAGAGAAAAAACAGAAATTGGCCAACTTCTTCCCGGCAAACTGGTACCTTCATCACACCTGCAAATAATTCCAAAGCAGCCTGGCCTCTGAGAATCTTGACAAAGTCCTGATAGCTGAATTATACTTTTTTTTTTTATCTTAAGTAGGAAGAAGAACTTCTCTTCCAGCTACTCATTACACAGAAACTAAAAACCAGACAAAAAAAAACTTTTCCTGGATGTAGTAAACTCCCATCAACCTCCAAAGAGTGAACTGTGCAGATTCGTCCCTTGATTTTAAGCTTTGCACATAATTTGGTTCTCCTGCTAGTAAAATGAATGCACGTCAGACATTAGCATGCCAAGTATCTTGACATCCAGGATTTACCAAGCCAGGATTGCTTTGGCCATCTGCCAGAAGTCCAAGGACCACACTGCACCCTTGAGAAACGGAGCAGGCTCAGCTATCATGTTCTCTGCAGGACAACCTTGTTCTAACAACAGAACAAGCTGGACGACATTGACAGAAAGAATGTGGGGTTTTTTGTTTGTTTGTTTTGGTTTTGGTTTTGTCCTTAAAGCAATTCAGATGTACAGCTTGAACAGTGTTATCACTCCAGGATCAAGGCAGACAGGCATGGCTAGGTACTAGTTGTCACAGCCATGAGTCCTTCTGATCTGGCCTGGCTTTTCACACCCTATGAAGTAACTAGCTACACACTTATTTTTCTTTTGGTTTGCAGCAGTGGTGAGAAGTCATTTGGCAAATGGCTTCCATACAATTACTACGTGGCGGTCCCCTTTTCAAACTGCTCAGGATCAAGCTAATCAAGAAACTGCCCCACTTCACTGAAATACTTTATTAATCTACTTGCCAAGAGTAAAGGCTGCGGCAGGGAATCAAGTATCTGAGGACCAGAGTCTGAACTGCAAAATCCATCCTTCTCTTGTACACAATACTGAGAGCAGAATGCCTTGCCAGGCTTTTCCGTCAAGTACACTTCCGTTTTTTGACCTGCCTTTCAGAGACAACAGTTAATGAGGGAAAAAAAAACCCAAGACAGCCGGAGTTACCAATTCATTAAATGTAAGTGCCCTTCTCATGCATCTTTAACTGCAAGCACTGACTTTGTACAGCAGGATTAAAGAACAGGCCTATGAAATGCCCTTTCAAGGTGGAAGGTAGACTCTCTCCTGTCCCCCGCTGCCACCCCTGCACATGGAACAGCAGATGGAACAGGGAGCACTACCTTCTCGTTGATCCTACAAATCAATTAGAACAAAGGGTGCCACCCTGAGCCACAGCAGGTTTTCATTACACAAGCAGGACAGACATAGATTTACAAGGCACAAAGGACATGCAGGAAAGGCTGCTTATCCTTCCCGTAAGAAGTGCTCATGAGGGGCTCTGCACCCCAGCTTTTCACCTACTGCTCTCCGAAATCACAGGCACATTCCTGCCATTCATCCTAACATTTGAAAGAAGCCCAAGATAAACACATCGCCTTGCTAAAAATAGAGTCACTAAGAGAGAATCAATCGCGCTGAAGTTTCACAACTGGCTTAAACCAATCTTTGAGAATCCACGTGCTTCTTCCTCACCCACCCAAACAGTCTCACCGCCCTTGTGACAGCAACCAGTCCTCGGGTGGCTTGCAAGGTCAGCTGGATCATGTCTCTGCCTTTTGGTGAACAGTAACCCCAGAAGAAAGCCCGTCTGGGCACAAAAAGCAAGCTGAGCCAGCTGACTCCCCAGCCATGCACACATTGGTGCCAACAAGAACCAGCAGGTGGGAACATCCCATTCTGCAACAGCACAACTCCAGACCAGATGAAGCTGGTCACAAAAATTTCACCCTCAGCCAAGCTGGAAAATGACCTCATTGTTCTTCAAATTTGTTTCTGGGTAACGAAACAACAAAAGCAGGACAACGCTTCCAGTGTCATCACACCAATACCATTGCTGCTCACACCGAGAAGCACTGTTCGATTTTTCCCAGTCCTCAGTCTTGCCTTTTATTCCAATTGTAAACATCACTCTTTTCTATGTTCATAAAACATTTGGCACAAGGTTCTTCTGTTCTACTGTATGC